GACTCCACAGCACTTAAACAATAATATATACATGATGTTGTTGTTGTTAAGTGCCATTGAGTTGGTTCTGACTCATAGCGAGCCTGTATAGGGTTGCCAAGGAGCGGCTGGTGAGTTTGAACCACCAACCTTGCGGTTCAAACCGACCTTGAGGTCGAGTGCTTATCCTACGGCCCCACACCAGGACTCATACATACACACACATATATGAGTCCTAGTGTGGCGTCGTAGGATAAGTACTGGACTGCTAACCACAAGGTTGGCAGTTCAAACCCACCAGCCGCTTCTTGGAAACTCTATACAAGGTGGCTATGAGTCGGAATCGACTCCACAGAACTTCACAACAACAGTCCATATATACACACAGAGATACGCAAAGAGCCGGCTGGTGCCATGGTTACCACGTGGCTCTAACTAAAAGGTCGGTGGTTTGAATCTCCCATTCGCTCTGTAGGAGAAAGATGAGGCAGTCCGCACCCATACAGCAGACAGCCTTGGAAACCCCCCTGGGGCCCTTCTCCTCCGTCCCGTAGAGTGGCTGAGTCGGCATCAACTCAATAGCAGTGGGTTTGGTATTTGACACACAAGGCGGCTTCAGGAACTTTAGGAAAACGTCATTAAGTTCCATTCCCTTTTAGCTCCATTTTCCCACAGCTTTTGAAGTCCCCTCATGTCTAGACACACACACACACACACGTACTTTTTAATACCTTCCTGTGTTTTCGGGAAAGGTTCACACAGTACTGAGAGCTCCCATCAACCATTCCTACACACATGAGTCAGTGATCGGGTGACGTTCTTCACAGTGCCCGGGCGTTCTCAGTATGTCTACGCTGGTGGTTCCATTTCCCTTCATCTAGTTGCCCTGCCCCGCTTTTCATCTTGGTGTTAAAATAGCTGTCAACCATCAGGTCCCCTACAGATAGATGGTTTTGTAAAGGACCACAGTCCTTATGGGCAGCGTTTTTCATTCCATGAGCCAATCTGTTATCCAGCTAACAGAGACCAGAGACCGGTTTGGGTTCAAGTTCAAACAGTATCTCAGGACAGTCTGTCTCGGGAGTCTTCCAGACTCAATGGGTCCAGGAAGTCTGTTTTATTTTGTTTTTTTCCTAGGAATCTGAGGGTCTCGCGTTCTCTCCGGACCCTTCTATTGTGGGTGGTCATTGATTATCTTAATCAAGTCACTAACTTGAGAAGAACCCTGAGAGCCTGGCAGAGAAGCAGGAGCGCAGTGTGCGTAAACAGATGTGCAGCTTCCCTGGGGGTCCAACAGCCAACGGAACACACCTGGCTGTGGTGACCCGGGATGGGTGAGGACAACTGGACAGACTCTCTTTAGCCGGTGCTCGTCGCCAAAGCGCCAGCAGGGCTGATTCGAGAGTGGAAGGAGAGGCTGGGGTGCTCGGGGAGTCACCAACCACATCATCCTGATATCTGGCAGAGCCCAAAAGGGGGAAGCCTTTCAGAATGGGCTCCATTCTGCTTCTACAATAGGGGCAGATGGTGGTGGAGGCAGAGCAGAGCCCAGGAAGGAAGCAGCAGCTGCCAACCCACAGCCTCCCTGCATGGCCTCCAACTGCACCAGCACAGCCAGACGCAGCGAACGCCGTATTTCCTGCTTGGCTTTCTGGAAACACAGGCACTCAGCCCAACCACCCAATCTGCTCCCTGCCAACATGCCAGCTTTTCTTGCCAGTTTCCAAACATCTGTGCCAACAAGACACCCACTGGTAGGAAAACTGTTGCTCGCAGTTTCCTAACCTCACGAGCGGCAGATTTCCTGCTACGTACTGTCTGTGGACACTTTTCACTACAGCAAGCAACAGGGTCAACTGGCTGAACAGAGCTCAGAAGAGTCACTGTCCACAGACTCCGGGCAGAGGTCTCCATCTGTCTCTACCCTGAATGCTTGGGCCGGGAGCACCTCACCCTGCTGCTCAGTGCCCGGCTCATAGGGGGGCTGATGAGGAACAGTGGGGCTGGGCCCCGCTTATATAAAGTGCTCGACCAACAGGGAACGGTACATGGTGACCACCACGGTTCAGCTCTCACGTGAGCCAACACTTTAGACAACCCACCACGTCCTAAAGCCTTCCACGTGCTCAGAGCCACGCTGACTCATGGTGACGTGGGTAAGGGTAAGAGATTATGAAAGGACTGCTCCCCATGTATCCAGAACAAACGAGAAAGGAGGAAAGCAAAGACTCAAGAGAGAAAAGCAGCCTACAGACTAACATCGGACATGAACCACAGCCTCATCTCCCCTGAGACCACAACAACTAGATGGTGCCCAGCCACCACCACGGGGCATTCTCACCAGTGCCAGAACAGAAAGCAAATGTGGAACAGAACTCCAATTCTTAAAAACAAAAATCACCTACTTGAGCAGCTGAAATGAGAGGAGACTACTGCCCTGAGATACTCTTTAAACCTCGAATCAAATGGTTGACACTGATGGTAAAGCAAAGATGAGATGGAAAGGGATAGGGAAACTAGATGAATGGAAAGGGAACCACCAGTATGGAAGTAATGAAAATATTCACACACTGTGACGGACTTAACCTGTCTCACTGAACAGTTGGTATAGAAACTGCAAAATGGAAATGTAAACTGCTGTGTAAAACCTGTACCAAAACATCAAAAAAATGCTATTTCAAAAAAAATAACAAGGATGCCACCAATAACATGTAACATGCCAACACATACATTCCACTGTTGGAAGCCAGGGATCCAGGACTGCACGTGACTCCTGACCACTCACTGGGCTCTCTAATTAACCACGAGCTGACTACCTGCCCCAACCAGGCTCTGGGCCCCTGAAGGCACAGACGGGGCTGGCCATGCCAGTCCCAGCCGGGCCGGACCCGCAGCACAGCCAAGCTGATGAGAGCACACTTGTGCACTAAGCCCTGGTCCACAACAAAGGCCAGTGGCCAACAAGAGTCCTTCTCCCAGCCTAGAGGGACACTCCCCTGCAGACACCACCGGATCTCCGGTCTCCCAGGGGGTGTCTGAGTCAGAAATGCCCAGCTCACATCTCCATCAAAAGTGCTCAGTGTAGAAGGTTCTCTGACACTCTCAACTTGGGGCCCAGTTACGCGGGTGCTCAGGCCCCAGGGCTTCCTGGAGACACAAGAAGTCCATTTCTAAAATCACCAGGGGAAGCCTGGGCAAATGGGGACAGCTGGTCACCTCCTGGGACGTGTTATATGAGGGGGCTGCAAAAAGTCTGTAGAAAAAAATGGAATGAAAAGACAGGGAATTTCTTGAAGCCCCCTCATCTACTCTGCACAAACACATTCAAATCACAGCACACAACCACCTTGAGGGCAGTCAGCGCGTTGTCAGAGACAGAATTCCCAATTTGGTTTACAAATACAGTGACACACATCACTCCGTGAATAAAACCTCGTCCTTCTAAGGGAGAAGTAAGGGCTCCGTCATGTTTCCGAGCCCCTGCTCACCTTCAAACCCCCTCTCACGGCCTGCAGGACGAGCTCCACCACCGCTGTGGTCTTCCCGGTACCCGGAGGTCCGTGGATGATGGCTAGCTCCTTCTGGGCCAGTGCGAACGAGACCGCTTCTCTCTGGGAGGCGTCCAGGGAGGGGTTGCAGAAGGTGAGCGCAGCTGGGGAAAAAAAGTGTTCAGAGCGGTTAGATCCCAGCTCTCCCTACCGGGCGCCCCTTCCTCTCAAAGTGGGTGGGGATGGGGAAGGCAACACATGTGGAGCCGCTCCTGGCGAGGAAAAGTCAGATCACACAAAGCAAATGTGCTCATTTTCAAACGGCTTCTTGCGGAACAGGGAATCGGCAAACTCGGGCCCACGGACCTATAAACCCACCACCTTCTTCTGCAAAGAAACCTGCATTAGCACACAGCAGCCCCACAACCCACCCCGTCATGGGGGGTATCATCCAGGGTTATAAAAGTGGAAGGGTCAGTGGCAAAGCTAAGAATATTTGCCATCTGCCCCTTTACAGAAAGGGATGGCCAACCCATGCTCGGAGATAATGAACCCTTCTGAAGAAAATGCTTCTTGGAACATACTAACATCCACCCCCAAACTCACTACTGTCAAGTCGGTTCTGACTCACAGCGACCCCTGGAGGCTTTATGAGCCCTGTAAATCTCACCTTTCTCCCATGAAGCGGCTGGTGGGTTTGAACTAGCGACCTTGAGGTTAGCAGCCCAACACCTAACCCACAGCGCCACCAGGGCTTCTTTGGAACCTTCTAGTTGCTATCAGAGGGTCCGGTTTTTAAGTGTCCCCAAAACGACAAAGTACAGCTGATGTTCTCCTTGCCTTCAGTCTCCCATGACCAGACTCGGCTCCTCCAGGGCAGGGACCCTTTGCTCAGCTCTGAGCTCAGTACCTGGTCGCAAGTGATGCTGGGTAAACAAGTCCACTCAAGTGGACGGTCATGGAATGTGGGCCTCGTAGTGGTGGCCCTGCCAAGCTATGGTTCCATGTCTACGCCGCAACTCTCCCCACATCCTGCCGTCTCTAGCAAATAGCGACAACGAGAACAAACTGTCCTTCGCCCAAATGGCGTAAATGACTCTCCAGTCGTGGGTCAGCACACGGGAGCCCGAGCTCTCATGCTCTAGCGCTGCTCTTACAGGAATCCCTCAAGGGGTGGCCGCCCTCACCCTGCACCCATGATGTGAACCTTTCTGGGAATCACGTTTGCTTCTGCTCCGTTAAGGTGGCCCCAGCAGTGTAGTTGTTGTTGGGTGCTGTCGAGTTGATGCTGGCCCATGGTGACTCCAGGTGACAGAGATCTGTCTCCCCGGGATGCCTAGACTCAGCTCTTTATAGAACCAGATCCCCAGGTCTTTTCTCCACATGGAGTGGCTGGTGGGTTCGAACTGCTGGTCTTTAGGTTAGCATCCCAGAGTTTAACTACTGTACCACCTGCGCTCCTTTACTGATGCAGGACAGGCTCTAAACCTACTCATTCCTGAGTGACAGCTATAAAAAGAGCAGAAGAGACGCAGAGTCGCAACAGGCAGACATGCCACGCAGGCCACGTCCACGAGCAAAGGAGCGCCAAGGACAGTGGCCGTCCCCTGACCTCGAGTGAGACCCACAGAGGGAGCAGACGGGGCCGAGGAAACAAAACCCCGTCCTCTAGATCTGCCTCCTGGTGGTCTTTTTGTCACAATAGCACTCAACAACTCAACACACCTCGGAGAGGTTTTTCCCTCTGTTTACGTGTTTATTTCTAAGTTTTTAGCAATGGCAACATGTCACTAATAGAATCAGAGAAAAAACAAAATTCAATTGCTGTTGGCTTCACGTGTGTTGGAGTAGAACCGTGCTCCACAAGGTTTTCGATGGCAGATTTCTCTGGAAGCCGGGTCTTTCTTCTGAAAGGACTCAGCCCACCAAGCTCTCAGTTAACGGCCGCGCCCGTTCATCATCTGCACGGAATGAGTGGATTCCGACTCTCGGACACAGTAGACCTGCACTGCCTAACTGTGTACATCAGGGCAGGGGGGCTAGGCAGGCACTGCAGTATTCTATAGGGAACAGACATGGTGGAACCCAAGCTGTTCAGTACGCCTGTGCTTACCTCACTTACTGGGTACACCATTCACGCCAACACCGTCAGTGTGAAAAGAGCCCTCAATTCTGTAGGAAGGGGCTATGAGGTTGGGAGAGAGACCGACGCCAACCAGACTGAGAGGCAGAATCTTTGATGGCGGGTTATGAGTAAGCACGAGTTAGCCCGTGTTTACCTTCCTCGTTGGCTGATCCGCCACTGCGGAATGTTTCAACACCTGCGAAAATGGCCAAGGTCTTTCCTTCTAGGTGCTTTTCAATAGCAGTTTCGGTGGGAAAAGAATATTAAGTTCTTACGTGTTTCGCCCACGGGACTGGGGGCTGACTCCCCGAAGATGACATCTAAGAGGGGGGACGCGGGGCCTGAGTGTTGCTGCTTCAGGGCCAGCAGAGCTCTGCCGGGGAGAAGAGGCAGGGACCCCTGAGCCTCAGCCCAGTCCAGCCCAACCCAGCAGCTCCCATTCCTCACCCAGTGACCCTCACTCCCAAGTCTCCGCCCAGTGCCTGGGGACCAGTACCCCAGCCTTGCCCCATGCCCACCCCCATCACTCCTGAGCTCCGCCCCTAACACATGCACACATGCACGCACACACACGCAGTCTGGACCAGTGTGGCCACAAGATGTGCAGCGGGTGTGAGCTGGGCCACGGGACGTCCACACACTCACTTCTTCAGTCGTTTATAGGTGACATCGTTGGCCACTCTGAGGAGCCTGTAGAGGTTCTCTCGGCTGAGGCTCAACTGCAAATCCTGTGTTTCGTCAAAGGCCACCGTGACGGACTTCTGGGTGACGCGGGTCAGAATCCCCGTGGCCAGCGGGCTGCCTCCTTCGGCGGTGTCATACAGCCCCACGATATCACCTGCAAAACATCAAAAGGGGGCGGGGCTAACGCACAGGATACTCATTCCTGCTCCACGAGATGTCTTCTCACAGCTCTTTATTAAACAAAACCAGAGGCAATAAAGAAAACAAAAATTAACTCGTGGGGTCCCAGCATGGCACAAAGAGTCTGCACTTAACCTCCAACCGAGAGGTCAGAGGTTCAAACCCACCAGCAGAGGACTGGCGATCTGCTCCCCGACACCCCATGGGGCAGCTCTCTCCATCCCTCAGAACCAGCAGATGATAACAAACCAAGGACTAAAGCATTATAGAAGCTCCCAGCCCAGCAGTGGCTGCTGGGTTTGAACCACCAACCTAGGGATTAGTAGTTCAGTGCTTAACCCACAGCTCCACTAGAGAGCCTCCCTGATGGCAATGTTGTTGTTGTTGTTAAGTGCCATGGAGTCAGTTCCGACCCATAGCGACCCTGTACAGGGTTTCCGAGGGTGTAAATCTTTACGGGAGTAGAAAGCCTCATCTTTCTCCCACGGAGCGGCTGGTAGTTTCGAACCGCTCACCTTAAGGTTCACAGCCCGATTCGTAACCACTACACTACCAGAGGTTTGGTTAAATCACGTGACTTAGGATCTGTACTTAAAGAGCCTGTCTTAACCGGGAACAAAATACAGTCACTGTCCTCGAACTACTAAGATGTCGTTGGTGCTCCAAAGATAGGCACAGGGAGGGGGTGGAGACGAACGAGGTAAACAGGGCCACTGAGTGAGCGAGTCAGGAGGAAACGCATGGAATTCAGGGCCCTAGGCCTGGGGAGGGACTTTTCTCCATCCTCTCTGCTGCATTTGTGGGCCCATTTGGGGATTCCCATGGTCTTTATCTAGGAACTCCTCAGCACAGGGACCCGAGCTCCACTCCTGGCTCTTGGTTCTTGGCAGCACCAGGTTCCCGGTTCTCTGCCTGCTTCTCTCTCCTTTACCTCTGGTACCTCAGGGAAGCCCCCTTACATCACACGGGGCTATGACCTGAATCCGGATGCTGCAGCCCACCCTAAGCCCCTCACAGCTGACTGGCCGGTCATACCCTGGGGGTGAGTCCATCACTGCCCAACTGCCAAACCACTGTGATTCCTGAGCCACCCACTGGACACACACTTTGAGGAACACAATTTAACCCCTGATGGCCCTGGTCAGAGCTCTGCGTATCCGAGGCCACAGTGACCCAGAGACATCTGCGCGGGCACCTAGAAGGAGCCGCTCCCTCACACTGTCCTGCTGGACCAGGGGCCCGAGTGAAGGGCGTGCAGCTCCCAGAGGATGGTCGAGCCAGGAAAGTGACAGAAACCAACGCTGAGAGCTGCCTCCCGGGGGTCCAGGCCACTCTCACCCAACACCAGATACGTTCCCGCCTCTGGCCTCCAGCAGATGGTGCACAGAGAGGGCCACCTGACGCAGAGTCCACTCTAACTGCGTCTAACACGGTGCCCAGCATCACCGGCCTTGGCTGTCTTCCTTCCCCATGACTGTCATGCACCTGGAACCTCATCCTGTCTCCCTTCCCAGTTTCATGGTGACACACAGGAGAGTCCCAATGTTCCTGGGGACAGAGGCCAGTTCTGTGCCCCGGGAGTCTCCCAGCAGCTGCCCTGCGTGGACACGCCTCTTCAGGATTTGGAGTTCTGAGCTGCTGAGCCTTAAGATGAAGAAGTGAACAACTTCACTGGACTCCGATCAACAGTTGATCATTTTGTAGTGCCTTCAAATGATGATATAAATTTGGGCAGAAAAAAGGTTCCCACCCCTGCTCTCTAGGGTCGCTATGAGTCAGAACTAACTCGACAGCACCTAACTCATGGTCCAGAACAATCCGTACAAACAATGTTACGGCATACAACACTGAGTTGCACACCTTAACTGTGTGAATTGTATATGCGAATTATAGACCAAAAAAGTTATTTTGGGACTTCTGGTGTGGCATTGTAGGATCAACATTGGACTGTGAACCACAAGGTCCACAATTCAAACTCAACAACAGCAAAGCTATTTTTAAATGTTTACAAAACATTTTAAATGTTTACAAAGCTATTTTTAAATGTTTACAAAGAATGAAGTTCTGATAGATGCTACAAAGTGTGTGACTCTTGGAAATGCACTAAGTGAAAGATGCAGACACCAGAGCTCACAGCGTGTAGGGTCTGTTGACATGAAATCTCCAGAGTAGGCCATAACTGGAGACAGAAAGTGCAGTCATGGCTGCCCAGAGCCTGGAGAAGAAGCCCTCATAATACAGTGTTTAAGAACTCGGCTGCTAACCAATAGCTCAATAGTTCAAATCCACCCAACTGCTCCATGGGCGAAAGATGAGGTGATCTGCTTCGGTAAAAATGACCAGTCTTGGAAACCCTATGGGCTGTTCTCCTCTGTTCTATGGGGTCACTATGAGCCCATTCAAGGACAGTGGGTGTAGGGCTTGGGTCCATTAAACTCCGCCAAATGTGAACTGTACAACGCATGTAGTACATTAGGTTCAAGCTGGTTTTAAACAGGCCACTAACCGGAAGTGAAGCTGTTGCTAGGCAACACCGCTGCAGACCCACACCGCCAGGACTCGAAGGTGGCCAGCAGTCGCCCGTATAGCCCAGTCCGCTGGCTGGAAACCGACAGCTTCAGCAGACAAACTCCTCGGCTCTGGAGCTCCTTCAGAGACACGCTTTCCTGCCAGGACCTGGAAGACACCTCCCGTATCCTCAACATTCCCATTTACCCAGGCAAGGGAGAGAAAAATCTTTGTGTGGACACTCACGCGCCGGAGAGACAAGACTCAGCACTGCCCCCTACTGTTCTCACAGGTCAATATCGCCCAGACCCTCCTCCCTGCTACCCCATGTGCAACCTCCGGAGTCATCTTTACCCGCACCGCCCCCCACCCCAATACTCTCATGCCCAGAGCCCTGGTGTGGAGCCTTGGGGTTAATGCACTGGACTGCCAAGTCCTTTGAACCACAGGACAACGGGTCAAGCTCACCAGCTGCTTCTCGGAAACCCTATACTGGGTTCGCTATGGGTCAGAATCAACTCGTTGGCACTTAACAACAACTCTCACTCCCAGAGTCCTGGCTCGGCGCTGTCTCATCAGCACTGGACTGCAAACTACAAGGTCGGCAGTTCAAACCCACCAGCTGCTCCATGGAAACTTTATACAGGGTGGGTATGAGTCAGAACCAACTCGACAGCACTTAACAACAACAACAATGACAATGACAATGATGGAGTCCTCGTGTGGCGCTATGGGTTAATGCACTGGACTGCAAAGTCGCTTTGAACCTCAAGGTTGGCAGTTCAAGCTCCCCTGCTGCTCCTTAGAAACCCTATACAGGGTCACTACGGGTTAGAATCAACTCAACGGCACTTAAGAACAACTCTCACTCCCCAGCTCCTCGGAAAGCCTATACAGGGTCACTAAGAGTCGGAACTGACTCAGCGGCACTTATTAACAATAACCCTCACTCCCGAAAGAGCCCTGGTGTGCTGTAGGTTAAACACAGGACTACTAACTAACTGCAAGGCCAGCAATACAAACTCACCAGCTGCTCACAGGAGAAAGATACAGCCTTGGAAACTCTATACAGGTCTCTATGAGTCCAAATCGACTTGATGACAATGTGTCTGGGTCTTGGATTTTACTTCTACTCTTCATCTCCTGATTCCTATTAGCCCGTAAATTCTATCTCCCTCCATGCTTGACACCCTGAATCCATGTCTGCCTCTCATCTTTACTGATACAGGCCTGGTCCAAGGCCACATCACCATTCACCTGGACAGAACAGTCTCCTAACTGCCTTACCAGTCACTGCAGGGTGAAACTGGTTAATGTGCTCACCTGCTAATTGTTGTTGTTGTTAAGTGCCGTCGAGTCGGTTCCGACCCATAGCGACCCTGTACAGGGTTCCCAAGGAGCACCTGGTGAGTTTGAATCACTAACTTTGTGGTTCAAACCGACCTTGCGATCCAGTGCTTATCCTACAGCACCACATCAGGAATATAGGAAAGGTTCAAATCCACGCAGGAGTAACCTTGGAAGAAAGACCTAGTGACCCACTTATGTAAAATCAGCTACCAATAACATCTGGAGCATAACATCTGGAACTGGTTAAGTGCCTAGCCTCTGGCCTCTCCCAGTCCCTCTGTCTAGTACCGGGCCCAAGGCGGCTCTCTTATAATGCAGCTGTACCACCTCCCTCACCTGCTGCCCCTCTCTGATGGCCAGGCCTTTCTTCCTACTCCACCTCATTAGGGAAACTCCACTGAAACTGTGGAAAAATATTTTTATGATCACTTTCTTTTTCCTTAAACTACTTCCTGGAGCAAAGACTTTATGATCGCTATCTTCTTCTTTTCCTAAAGTAGGAATGTGCGCCTTAAAAATTTGAACTAGCCAATCAGGTAAGGGAATAGATTGTGCTGTCAAAACCCTAGCCAATAAGGTGAGACACAGCCTTGAGACTCGCGTCAGGGATTAAAAACCGGAGTGAACTGCCCTCGGTGTGCTCGCTGGCCTGTTAATGTATGCACGGCTAAGCGCAAGCACCTGCTGCAGGAGTAAATTTTACTTTGCCAAGGTCATTTAGTCTCACCGAGTGTCTTTTACGCGACATCGGGATTCATTTCTAACAAAACCCATTCAGCATCACAGCAACACGCAAGCCTCCGCTGATAAAACGGAGAGGCACTGGCCGGGAAGCGAACCCAGGTCTCAGTTTAGAAAGGGGATTTCAGGTGAGGAAAAGACAAGGCTTTCTCGTGGCCTGAGAACGCACACAGGCTGCGGCGGTTCGTAACCAGGATCCCATTACCGCGCACAGGCCGGTGACCCTAGCGCGCCTCCAGGGGTCAGGAGCTCGGAGCCGGGCGCAGGGAAACGGCCGGCCGTACCTGCTCTCCTCGATCTCCGCGTCTCTCTCGATCTCCAGCAGGTCCAGCTGCTTCGCCACGAAGACCTCCACCGACACCGACGCCATCGCTGTCGCCACGCAGGGGTAGAGCTCCCAGCCAGACCTACTGCTCCCCGCCGGACTCGGTGCGTCGACACACCAGGTTTGCGCCACTTCCGCTTCCGGTCGTAGCGGCGGAAAGATGGCGGCGTCCGTAGCCGCTTTGGCTCTGAAGTTCACGTTCGGGCGGCCGCTATCCACTTGCAGCCGTCTCCTCCTGAGCGCTTGGGGACCCGCAGCGGGTAAGACCCATGCCGCGGGGTGAATGGGGAGCCTGGCGGTGATGTTCCTCGCCCTCCCGTCACTCGAGCGGCCGTGCCTTTGTCCAGCTCGGGGTTTGCTATTTGAACGGTCTTTTCATGCGGTGACTGTGTTGCACGGGGTTTGGAAGTCAGGGGAACCGGGACTCATCTACTGGCTTCCCCGTTAATTACTCGAATTCTGACTATGGCTCTTCGGCTTCTGGATAATAATCTCTGTACTACAGAGGAAGGAGGGAATGAGGCTCCGAGGAACTCGTTGAGTAGGCCGGGGTCACAGCGGGGAAACGGGAGGGTCCGAGTAATGAACGGGGAAACCGGCAGATGAACCCAGGTTTCCCAGGGTCGTTCTAGCTGCCGAGGAGACGGGAGGAAAGGGGAAAGCAGGGACCAGATCCTCTAAACCTGAACTGAGAGTGAGCTGATGAGATCTGCTGGTGGGTTGTGCTGGAGAGGATGACGTCTTCATTCTGTGAGGTGGGAGGGGTGTGGAGCGGGAAGGAGGCGGAGACACAGAGCCTCCTGGGAAGTTTTCAGATGCTGCAGACATCCAGCCGCAATGGTGTATTGGCAGTGCAGGGTCCAGGCTGCAGGAGGGGACAAGGGGGAAGAAGGATCATAGCTGGAGCAGACGTAAAGTCCAAGGACTGAAGCACAGGCACGCCAAGTGACAGGAAAGGGGCATCCATCGCAGGAGAGAGGACTCTTCCATTTGGCTCTTCAGTGAGCACGAGCACGAGATCGGAGGTGCTCTGACGGCCTGGTGGGAGAGACACTTGATTGCATTGCAGTGAGAGGGGGTGCAGCAGAGGACAGGGTAGCTCAGGTTTGAGGAGTTTGGCTTCAGAAAGTGGAAACAACCCAAATGTCCATGAACGGACGGCTGGGTGAGATGTCCATCCATACAGTGGACTGTCACCAGGCAATAAGAAAGGGGCAAAGTAGGATGCATAAGACAGTATGTATGACCCTTGACAACATCACGCTAGGAGAAACAGTCCAGTTCCGTGGATAGGAACTGTCCAGGGAAGACAAAGCCGTGGCGACAGAATGGGACTGAGTGGTTGCCGGGGACTGGGGAGAGAGGGCTAAAAAGGATGGGATTTCTGAGGAGATGAAAATATTCTGGAATTAGATAGTGGTGGGTTAGGGTGCACAGCTTTGTAGCTACACTAAAAACCAATTGTACACTTTCCCCAAAGGGCAGATTGTGTGCTGTGTGGCTTCTATCTCCCTCTTATTTTAAGCGCTGTTGTGAGATGCCTTTGAGTCGGTTCTCATGTGCAACAGAACAAAGCGCTGCCTGGTCTTTTCCATCCTCACAACCGTTGCTCTATTTGAGCTCATTGTTACAGCCACTGTGTCTGTCCATCTTGTTGAGGGTCTTCCTTTTTGGAGCTCTCATACTTTACCAAGCATAAGGAACATCCTTCTCCAGGGACTAGACCATCCCGATGGCACATCCAATGTATGTGAGACAAAGTCCCGCCATTTTTACTTCTAAGGAACGTGCTAAAGGCTGTACTTCTTCCCCTAATAAAGGAGCTACTGAGATGGCTCTCCTCTGCTAGCTTCCATCTGTGCACCGTTCTCTGTGTGTCTGCACCCTCCTCCCCTGGACTGGGAGAGCTTCGTCCCTTGGGATGTGAATCATCTAGTTCTACAGAGAAACCATGCATTTGAGTTAGAGTGTTGGAGGAGAATATTGCAAGTACCCCAGGCTTCCAGAAGAACAAACAGATCTGTGTTGGAAGAAGAAGAGTCAGGATGTTCCTGGGAAGCCAGCATGGTCAGACTTCGTCTCTCATGCTTCAGACATGTTATCAGGAGAAACAGAGGGAGACCTTCAACGAGATGGATTGGCACCATGGCAGCAATGATGGGCTCAAGCGTAGCAACAGTTGTGAGGCTGGCACAGGACCGGGCAGTGTTTCGTTCTGTTGTGCAGAGGGCACCAGCTCGACAGCACCTAACAACAACTGCTACATAACAGTAGTGTGGTGTTATAGGATCAGCACGGGACTGCTAACCACAAAGTCAGTGGTTCAAACCCACCAGCTGCTCCTCAGAAGTCCTACGCAGAGTCACTGCGAGTTGGAACTGACTCAAGGGCATGTAACCACAAGAACAACATGGAACAGATAACCCAAAGTGTAGCAGCTTAAGGCAGTGAATATTTCTTACCGCGCACTGTTTGGGAGAGTTAGGAATCCGGGACATTGGGGTTCCGGAGCTCATGAGATGGCGGCCTGCACTCAACTTGTAGAACGGCACTTAACTACAAGATCCCCCCGGGGGTAGAGCCTGCCTGCTGGCTCTCTGGAGGTGGCTGCTGGCCTCCGTCCCACCCTGGCTGGTGACCAGAGGCCTCGGCTCCTCACCACTTGGGCTGCCCGCAGCATGTCCGTGCCCACAGCCAGAAGTCAGAAAGCGCACACACGGGTGCCCAGGATGGAGCTCTGGGCTCTCGTGTATCCTGGCCTCAGTCCTGGGACTTTGCCACCACTTTTGCCGTTGGTCACACCCACCCTCCCTGTGGCATTCCTGGGCCCCCCTGCAGGCTGCATCTGCCAGGGGAACATGGAACTGGGGTGAACATCGGGGTACTTGGTCCAGGACCAAGTTCACAGGTGGACGACTTTGCTCTGGGAGCTTGCCCAGGGTGTGATGAGCATGTGTCAACACGCCGGACCGAAAGTGGAAACTGTGTTCTGTTCACCAGGCTCACTGGACGTTCCTGTGGGCGAGTCCTGAGAAACCCATGTGAACAGGACGGCTGGTGCCTGCTTAGCTGGACAGCAGGCAGCTCGTGTCTAACATCAGTAACAAAGCATCTCTCTCATTCCCGCAGCTCCTTCACCCTGGCCCACTTCTCGTCGGTTCTGCTCACAAGGCACCTCGCTGCCACAAAGGTGATGACCAGTGTGACCCTTCCCTGTCTTTCCAAGTCCCTCACTTGTATGTCCGGCTTTCAAGAGAATCGATGTTTTCCCGTGACTGCTAGGTGGTCATTTTCTCAGGCCCTTTCTATGTGGATGTGCAGCAGACAGGCTGAGAGAGGGGCATCTCGGGGAGTATTTGTGAGCCCTAATTTGAGATGTCTGCCCAGGCAGGGAGAGCAGAGGTTCTGCCAGACCTGTGGGCACACACCCCACCCTCGGGCTCAGGGCAGGCAGACAGTAGGACAGGACTGACACCCCGGACAGAGTGCAGACAGACAGCAGGATCACCCTGATGCCCCAAACACAGTGCAGACAGGCAGTGGGACAGGACTGACATCCCAGATAGAACGCAGGCAGACAGCAGGACCGCCCTGACCCCCTGGGCTCTGCCCTGTGGCCCAGCCTGTGGGAGTCGGCGCATGGGTTCATCTCATCCGTCATAGCTCTCTGCTTTTGCCCCCTTTCCTCAGCTCACGGAGCTGGGACAAGAGCATCTAAAGAACGTGCCCCAGCTCCTGTTACTCCTAAGGGGGGTTGCAGAGAGGAGAAACACAGGCTCCTGACTAGATGGAAAGGAGGAGCAGACACCCACCTGGCAGGGGTTCACGGCTGGGGAACAGCGCAGTCCTGTGAGCGAGGGGCAGACTCTCGATGCCCTTACAGGCCTGCATCATGCTCTTGGCTTCCTGTGGGTCTGGGGCATGGGAGCACATGTGACTATGAGAATCCTGGGCGAGAGGACACCCTGTGCTCAGCCTTGATGGGGAGGGAGAAGTCGGCCACTCCAGCCATCCTGAGCACCCTGTGTCCGCACGATGGGGTCATCTGAGGCAGGCGGCTCTAGGCCAGAGCGCCTGGGATCCTTGCTTTGATCCCCAAACAATAGCTGTTCCTTGACACACTTTGGGGTTCTTGGAGCATGTGTGGGTGCCGGTCCTCAGGGCCAGCACTGGTGTTGCGTGGTGTCACTTCACACAGCCACATCAAGCTTACACGTGTGGCCAGCCAGGCACACACACACTGACCACTCCTGGAAGTGACGGCAGATGCTGTCTCTGATGGAGGGCAGCTTCCCCAATAAGGAGGGACCCAAGACAGCCACCATCTCTGCCCCCTCGGGGCCGGTAGCGCTCCACCATGGCTCAGTGGATCCCATCCCTCCTCCCTTGGCTCCGGGTGGTGCTCCTCCATGACTCAGTGGATCCCGTCCCTCCTCCCTTGGTTCCGGGTGGTGCTCCTCCATGACTCAGTGGATCCCGTCCCTCCTCCCTTGGGCCTGTGTGGTGCTCCTCCATGGCTCAGTGGACCCCATCCCTTCTCTGTACCGGGAGGTGCTCCCTTGTACCAGTGTGGCATGCTTCATGTAATGATCCTCACAGGTACATAGCTAAAACCTCCCTGACTTCTCCACCATGGCCAGAGATTGTGCTGCCCGACCCCGTGGAGGAGGTGAAGCACCATGCAGGTAACGTTGCCTCGCAGGGCTCTGACCCAGGACTAGTGTGGGGCCTGGGGACGGAGGTGGGGGTTCAGAGGAAGACGGCACACAGGAGCTCCGTGTGTGTCTGGTGGCCAGTACTGGGCACACAAGGCCATCCAAGTCGTGTGAGCTGCCCACATGTTGGGAGGAGGGAGAGCAGCCGTGGTGGAAAGATCATGGCTGAGTCAGGCTCTGACTGTGGGGACGAGAGCTGGGACCCTGAGTGGGTGAGGCCGGGATCGAGCCCTCCCAGCCCCACGACCAGAATGCCTGTGGTCCTGGTTTGCGTCAAGCACCCCCTAGAAACAAGAGGGATGTTTTCCCCACAAGGGAAAGTCCCGATCTACGAGGGGAACCAAGTGGGCTGGCCACACACCCACTGAGGTGGCTGTGGTGCTGGGCCAGGGAAGGGGCCACGGGCGGGCGCTCACCAGGCTGTGCCACCCCCCTGCAGAGGTGGTGAGCATGGTGAACGAGCTGATTGCCACAGGCCAGTACGGCAGGCTCTTTGCCGTGGTGCATTTCGCCAGCCACCAGTGGAAGGTGACCAGCGAGGACCTGATTCTCATTGACAACGAGCTGGACGTGGCCTGCGGCGAGAGGATCTGCTTGGAGAAGGTGAGGGCACCGCGGAGCCCGGGAGGCTTCCTCAGAGAGCAGAACAAGAGCTGTCTGTTGGCCTCTTCCCCTCACAAGCTGCTTCCCGTAGAAAGGCGTTTGAGCCCCAGCTAGGCTCAGTGCTACAGTAAGGCCGTCAGCCCTCGTTTATGTGGCGAATGCTGCTGGTTTTAACCAAGACTGCTAAGGCCTGTCCAGGCTCTCCCTCACCTGATGGCCACTCAGAACTGCGGAGCCTGTGCTGTGTGGGGTCTCTGTGACTCTTGCCTTCTCTGTTTCCTGTCAATCGAGTTATTTATCAAATCAAATTGACCTGATTGATGGGGTTTTTTTCTGGATGTATTTGTAATTGTTGATGTCTATGACTTGATGAATCCGACTCCTTTTCCAGGTGAGCGTGGTGTCTGTCACTGATTTGTCACGAGCCACCTACTCATTAAATACTCCTGTTTGATTTTTCGAGGTCCTGCTGGTCGGGTCTGACAACTTCACGTTACTTGGCAAGCCGCTTCTCAGGTACGTGCTCTCAGGTGACAGGCGTGGTCTCAGGGCCGGGGTTGCAGACGTGGTGGGGAGACCCGTGCTGCTTGTGCTAAAGGCCGCTCAGCACATTTACACCTGCTTGTGGTGGACAGTCGGCATCACCTGAGGAGAGCACCCAGGCCCGATGGTTGGTGGTGTTCATCCGCCCGCATGGTCCTTGGGAGGCTGGCCGAGGACTAGGCAAGCTTCAGCGTCCCTCGCCGCTCTTGTCCTTCTCAGAGCACCTCAGGGTCTGTGGTTAGACCGGCAGAAAGGAAAAGCAGGTTTCCTTCCTTACAGCAGTCCTACCACCGAGAGAACGTCACACTGTCTCCTTCCTTCTAGAAAGGATCTCGTTCGAGTAGAAGCCACCGTTGTGGAAAAGACAGAGTCGTGGCCAAAGGTCAACATGAAGTTTAAGAAAAGGAAAAACTACCGGAGGAAAAAAAGTAAGTGCGTGAGAATGGCGCTCGGGTGGTCCTCCCGTGTCCCCCCGCGCGGCCAGATTCCTTCTCGGCCACACTGGGGAGTGAGCGGCTGTCTCTGGAGAGCCGCAGGCATAGCTGCTGGAGCTGTGGTGTGCATGACCCCTGTGGTCCACACCACCGCCACCAAGCCGGATCCACGTCATGCAGCCACTCAGCAGGAGACACAAACAGTGATGTCAGCAGCGGCTTTGTTCATAGAGCAGCAGGCCCCTGGGAACAGGGGTGGGGACACTGAGCCCTCAGCAGCATGCACATGTCCCGTCTGAGGCTGTTCCACAACACAACACGTCCACTGAAGCCTGATGACCCACACTCAGGGCTCCTGGAAGCGGCAGTCCATGAGACATGACGAGCTGTCCTAGATGAATCCGCTGTTTACGACCTCTCTAAAGTGCTAATGAGTACAGACGTCAGTCTGAGGACTAAGGCGCGCCTGACCCAAGCCATAGGCATGCAAACGCTGGACAGTGAATAAGGAAGACCGGAGGAGAATTGATGTGTTTGAGTTCTGGTGTTGGAGGAGACTATTCAAAGTAAGAACAAATAAATTTGTCGTAGAAGATGTGCAGCCAGAATGTTCCTTAGAAGCCAGGGTGGCAAAACTTCATCTCTCCTACTTCAAACACGTTATCAGGAGGGACCAGTCCCTGGAGAAGGACGTTCTGCTTGGAAAAGTAGAGAGAGGGTCAGCGAAAAAGAGGAAGACCCTCAATGGGGTGAATTGACAGCTCCAACAGGGCAACAATTGTGAGGATGGCACCGGACCGGGCAGCCCCCACACTGCACTGCTCTGCCCCAGCCCGTGGACACCTAGCAAGACCCCCAGACTAGGCCCGACTGGAAGCCACACCCGGGGGTGAGGGTTCTGAGGCAGGTCCAGGGCCTGCGTGCCTGCGTGCCTGGTGCGTCCTGTCTAAGAGTAACCGTTATTACAACCCTCCTTTGCCGACCTCGTTGCCGGTGGTGGTGTTAGCTGACAAGGGGTCCTCCACCGCACTCGTGGGACGCTGTGCCCACTGGGCCAGGACCACTGTGATCTGTCCGGGTCTATGGTAGGGTGCAGGCCTCTCTTCCTTGCCCCCCTCAGTCTGGAAGCCCCGCGGAAATTAGTGCAGCATCACAGCTAGTTGGGAGCCTCCCCGGCAGACGGGCGCTGCTGGGGCATGAGGTACACTAGCCGGGAGTACACCTGGCTCTCCTGCATGGAAGGTGGACGTTCCACAGTGGGCACCCACTGCCCCTTGTTGTCGTTGGCAGGTGCCATGCACAACAACAAAGCACCGCCTCGTGTGCGCCATGCTCACAATTACGTTTGAGCCCAGTCCTGCAGCCACTGTGTCAATCTGCCATGTTGGGGGTCTTCCTATTTTTCTCCGACCCTCCGCTTTACCAAGCCTGACTGGTCCCTCCTGACAACAAGGCCAAACAAAGTCTCACCCTCCTCACTTCTAAGAAGCTTTCTGGCTGTATTTCCTCCAAGGCAGATTGGTTTGATCTTCAGGCCCTCAGTAGTCTTCGACAACACCGTGACTCAAATGCCCCCAGTCCCCACCAGTGGAGGAAGGGTATGCACTAGGTGCCCTGCTGTGGAGCTGCGGGGTAAGGCGCTGCACTGCAAAGTCATTGGAGCCACAAGGTCGGTGGTTCACGATCACCAGCTGCACCTCGAAAACCCTATACAGGGTCTCTATGGGTTGAAACGGACTCGATGGCACCAAACAACAACATCAGGGAATGAAGTCCACCCAGGCAGCAGCATTTCCACTAGTAACAGCATTCATGAAGCAAGGTCCCTACAACAGCGGCCTGCAGTCCCTAAAACTACTTCAGTTGAGGGACCTCTCCTTCACCAGGTGAGCCCTGTGGAGCTCCTGAGGCCCCCAAGTGTGCCCAGTGGACAGGGAAGGGCCCTAGGTGTCCCCATCTTTGCAACGTCCCACAGAACTCCCAGAGCTCGGTGTACACCCACGCCACAGAACACATGTGCTGTGGAACACATACACCACAAAATACATAGAGCACAGAGGCAACATAGGACACACATGTACCACAGAATATACACGCGCCATGGAACACTGATAAAGCACAGGTTACGTGGTGTGGAACACACACCACGCGACGCAGAAACTCTAGAGGACATCTATACGCCGTGGAGGTGTGCCGCTGTGGGCTAATGCATCAGACTGCAAAGTCGTTTGAACTTCAAGGTCGGAGGTTCAAGCTCACCAGCTGCTCCTTGGAAACCCTATACAGGGTCACAATGGGTTGGAATCAACTTGACGGCACTTCACAACAACAACAATACACCATGGAACACAAGCACACCACAGAACACACATCATGGAATGTGAACACACCATGGAACATGGATACATTACAGAACATGGTATGGAACCCATAAGACACTGTGTACACACCATGGAACATACACCACAGAATAGGTGGTGCTCCGTGGGGCTGTGCCCAGCAGGCTGGCCTGCTGTGTCCATGGGTGGGTGGGGAGGAGTCCCCCTTGGCCGCCCCCACAGCCATGTTCTCTGTCTCTCACAGTCATCATCACGCCTCAGACCGTGCTGCGGATCAACACCATTGAGCTGGCCCCCTGCCTGTTGTGACCGGAGCAGAAATAAACTCTCCTCCCAAGGAGACGCCTGTGCCGAGTCCTGGTGTGGCCAAGGGCCAGGGGAAAAGGACATGGGGAGGAACCACATGCGCCATCTCCTAGAGTCTGTTTGTCTCTGGAAATGACAGTCCTACATTGGCCTCTCTCGTGGCTGGGCCGGGTGAGGGCTTGGGGGTGCCGCGGGGCCTCAGCTCGGTGCTGTTTCTGGACGAGGTGGACAAACACTAGCCTGCCATCTCTGGGAGCAGACAGACTTCGTCCGGGGTGGCAGGGCCCGCTCCTGTGACTCTGTTCACAGGGTGTCTGCTAGGGAGGGCCTGGTGTGCTCAGTTCTCCCCCAGGGGGGCACAATTCAGAAGCAGGTCCAGATATCAGGTCCTGAGCCCAAAGCAGAGGCAGAAGGGGAGCTCAGCAGAGACCCTGTGTCTTGCTGTTCTCAGGACAGTTCTCCTTCCAGCTGCTGAGTGGCTCAGCATTGTCACCATAGCAGACGACATTTCTACATCCTGTGGGGGGACCCATCTCACCATTCCCACCCTGCCTCTCCCCGACTCTCCCCCATCAGTCCTTTATCTCTGCCCTCCCTCCCCTCCTCCATGTCTGCTTCCCCGCCCCATCCTGGCCCTGGAAGACCTGCAGTGTCCTCTGTGAACAGCAGGGGGCAGTGGTCCTGCTTAGCTGGGTGAGCCAAGCCTTTCCTGGGGTGCTAGTCCCAGGCCCTGCGGGGAGGGGACACTACGCTGACCATGCAGTGCGGGCTGGAACCGGACCTCAGAACTCGGGCTTCTCCGTCTCCAGTGCTGCGGCATCTGGAATTCTGGGGCATTTCTAATGCTGAAGCTCATGCTAGGGGCCACAGGTCACAGCTCCCAGGCCCTGGCCTCTCTCCGGGTCAGCCTGTGCTGTTCTTGGGGCCCACAGGCATGATTTGGGTGCCTCCTCCTGAAGCAGGGACCCCCGTGCTGGATTCACTGAGTGGTGGGGGCCCCCAGTTCTTACTGTACTAGAAGTAGACAAGCAAACCATCACCACTGTGCCGTGGCTACATTCCCACTGCGGCCTCCAGAGGCCCTGTGTGTTCCCCAGCGTCTGCCGTGGCCTCTTTGTCCACAGCACCTCTGAGTGGGCTCACAGGCACCACCCAAGGTCACCAAGTGAAAAGATGCCCTTTGTAAGGCACTTTGGCCTGGCAGTAGTGTGTCCCTGGCCTGTGCCCAGACCGAATGTCCTCAGCCTCATCAGTGAAGTGGCCGTGGTGCCAGAGTGCCCACAAGGGACCACCCAGAACAGAGCTACCTGCAATTGTCCACAGAGCCACTCGGGGCCTTCAAACGGTGCAGTCTCAACTGACGGCCAAGCAGCCATGGTGGTGGACAAGACGTTCCAGGAGGCATTGTTGGCCGCTGTGTTTAGAGGGTCAGCGCTGCCTGTGTCCACTCAGAATCTCAAGGACAAGCGATCTGGTGGTTCTACAGCCTGTGAGCTCCATCGGCCAAGGCTGCAGTGTTCCCGGCCTGGCCCCTAAAGCGGTGTCATCAGGGCTGAAAGACAAGACCGTGCCGTATAAAAGCTGGGCACAGTGCTTAACAAGAGATGCTGTGTAGTGCCATCGAGTCACCCTGACTCATAGTGACCTTGTACACAGCAGACAGAGCAAGCACTGCCCGTCCTGCGTCATCCTCAAAGGAGTTACACGTGAGCCCAAGGCTGCAGTCACCGGCAGTCCGTGTCATTGAGGTTTGCCTTGACCCTCCACGTTATGAAGTACGATGTTCTCCAGGCATTGGGCCTTCCTGACAGCAGGTCCGAAGTCTCACCGTTCTCCCTCCTTCCAAGACAGACTTACTGATTGGCAGTCCCTGATAAAGCCAGTGCCCTTCATCATCACTCCAATGGCCATTCTTATTCACTGCCCAACTCCCCCATGAGGTGTCCAGGGCTGTGATATTTTTTTCCTTAAAGTTTTAATGTGACCTAAGTGAAGGTTGACAGATCATCAGTCCCCATTCAATAAGTCACACTCGGTGCCATTACAATGATTATGGTCCCTTCCACACACCATCAGTTAGCAGTGCCTACCTCTGTTCACGTGAACTCACCCTCCCTGTGTTTTCCACTACTGTCGGCATCTCCCTGTACTTCCTCCATCTTGTTGGACGTTGCCGTCCCCATCACCCAATGAGCATGTCTCTAACCTCAAGGTCAGCAGTTCAAAACTACCAGCTGTTCCGCAGGAGAAAGATGAGGCTTTCTGCTCCCGTAAAGATTGACAGCTTCGGAAACCCTGTACAGGGTCGCTATGGGTCAGAACCCACTCCACGGCACATAACCACCACCACCACCCTCTACCCAGTGAAGAATTTTCCCTTCCCTCCCACCTCTGAGAACCATCCTAGAATGTGTCTTTTA